TTTTTTGAAATAAGGCCCTTGCGCAAGACCTCTATCCTGGTGGTGGTAGGAGAACCACCGGGATTGAGGCTTTGACTAGCGGGCCGCTCCATCTATTGGTGGGGAGCAGCACCTGCTGGAAACCGGGCAGTAGCAGATGTCTCAACCCAGTCACCTACTCAATCTGTCACTCTCTCACCTACTAACTCACGTACTCATCCAAGATTGTAGAAAGGTATCTCTTTACATCTATTTTGCTAACTATCATTAAAAGCCGAACAAGAATATCAAACCAAAAAAAGAATTCAAGTAAAATGCAATTAAGAAAAAAGCACCTAATGGTGAAAATAATATCTAAAAGCTAATGTAAAAGAAAATTCCAAAACAATTCCAAAACAAAAATCTCAGAGGTACACAACCCAAAAGTATGATGCGGCCAGCCGTCGTTATTCGATGCAGAGGACGTTGCCAGTCAGTTGGGGGTGGCAGCCTGGCAGGCTGAAGCAACATTTCCCTCGCCGGTTGTCTGCTCTCGTGCCGATAATGTCACTCAGGTGGGCATGCAACATGGCGGGTTCTCGTTGCATGTATTTTAATATTTTATCCATGTCACCATGCCCCCAACTTGACGAATTCATAAGGTGTTTTTTTTTTATTTTTTWTATTTTTTTTATATATTTTAATATATATATATTTCTGTCCCCAAAGGGATTCATACATTCAAACAAACCATGATCATGATTCATGACATATAAATGATATAATCTACTATAATAATTTATTAATTTCCATAATGATCTCAAATTACATGGGGCCGATCATATATGATATATCTCAAGACTGCCACCCTTTTAGTAAAAAAAAAACAACAAAAAGAGGAAGGGAATTTTTTTTCTTGAACCAAGAGATGAAGGAAGGGAAAAAAGAAGAAGCACTGCAAGGATATCGAAGTAAATGAATAAATAAGTAAATAAATAGAAAAGAATAATAAAAAAATAAAAAATAAAAAATACAAGTATGCCTGTCACGTGGGGTGTTCTCTATGGATTCATGTATTTTTTCTGCATGTATTTCATCCATGAGACCATTTTTTTTTTTTTTTTTTTTTTTTTTNTTTTTTTTTTTTTTTTTTTTTTTTTTTTCTGGGGAAACTACATGGGAGTCACAAAATCATAAAAAATAAAAAAAAACGAGTTATAATTGCACTATGGGCCAAGATAACAGTTTGCATATGCAGTTCGGGCCTGCAATGTATACAACCCAGTTTTCTGGCCAGGTAGGGTGCCCCGAGTGCAATTGCAAACTGTACCTTGCCCCATAGTGCAATTATAACCCAGTATTCACTCCTCTCAGCCATTACCATTCCAAGTTAGGGAGAGCAATTCAAGTGAGCAAGGTAGGGAAGACCCCTCTAGCAACAGCAACTAAAAGATGGGAATTTGCTACGTCAGGGATGATGACGGAAGACGACCAGGTCCTGATAAAACTCTGCAAACAGATTCAGAAGCTTCCGAATCAGAAGAGCGCGAGACTCAGTCTGCTGTGGCTCCAATCTCTCCAGTCAGTACCTTCGGCTAACTGGCTAGCTACAAAAGGAATGACATTGTCGGTCTCGCTTCAATGTGTTCGCTGTTCCTGGGGGCTGGAAACGTGTTCGCTGTTCCTGGGCCCTGGAAACCACTTCGCATTTGTGGATATACTGCCCCCAGTCGATGCAAATATGGCAGTGGTGGAGAGACCAGTGGTCCAAATGGGGAGGTGCTCCCCCAATATGGTCAGACGCCTGGATCCTCACAGGCTGCAGGCAGACCTTACCCACGCAAGATTCAGGGTGGAATAACATTGCCCAAGTTTGCAGAGGAATTATTATGAATGTACTGTGGCAAGAGAGAAACCAGAAGGTCTTCAGAGAAGAGGCTGTGCACCTCGAACAGATGAAAGCTCAGGTCAAGACAAGGATCAGATTAACTGTAATAGCTGACTGGCAGAGGAAACTTAAGGTCCAATCTAGTTCCTTAAGACTTGAGTCAGCTCGGGTCAGTTGGCGTCAGTGACACAAGAAGGAAAACTGGAAGTGTCTGCGTGGCTTTGTCCCTTTCAGCAGACTTAAGGCTCTAAAGCTAGACTAGACTTGCTTCGCACAGGAGTAGTTAGCTCAGTCCTGCCTGGAATGGCTCTTCGTAGTGCTGTAAGAATGTTCGTCTCTGTTCCATTTGGTCCTTTGTTAATCCAGTTGGTCATTTGTTTTGTTAGCATGATCTAGAATTGAATAGGAGCACGGGACACTGGACCCGGTTTGCAGTATCAGCCTATTCTGGGCAATGGCCCCAGGCATCCGGGTTGAGATGTGGAGGGATTCCCGGCCTCCTTTTGCTTATCATATAATAAATCATGCTATTTGAAAAAAAATAAAAATGAAGAACCAAATGCTGCTCAAAGCTTTTGTCCGTATTTCCTGAAAAAGAAATTGAAGAAATACAACAACCCTCAGTGAAAGGGTCCACATACAATGGAAAGAGGGAGGCAGTGGCTCACTAGAAAGTGAAATGAACGTGGACAGTAGCCTGGCTTTTTTTTTTTTTTTTTTTTTTGAGAAAAACAGTCCCTCCAGTGCTAGCAATGCTGGTAAGAGCAGACACCGCTGGCACCTGGGGATAGGCTCCATCTATTGGTGGGGAGCATCACCTGCTGGAAAGCGGGTCCAGCGTCCCTTGCGATCGAAATAGAAAACACATCTCAGAAAGCCTGTATGCTGAACCTGCCAGCATTGATTACCCTGGAGGCCAGGGGATTGAMTGAGCAGGGGGGAGGGGCTCTTCACCCCGATGTTTGGCGCCAGATTTCCTCTGTCACTGCTGGCTCCCCTCCTCTGACCATGGTGATCGGTGATGCCACAAGGTTGGAAACTGTCTCGTTCTGCCGCACCGTCAGGGGCCAAGCGGAGATCCACTGGGGGGCACCAGTGGGTACTTCTGCCGTCCCCCTGCCTGTCCCATTACTGATACTGACTGTCTACCCAACCCATTCTTCCATTGCTTGGTGGTGGGGTGGGAATGGGTCTGCAAGGTCTTCTGCCGGGCACAGAGGAAGCTTGAGGCATTCACAGAAAAGAGTTTGGGGGTGCACGGCCAACCACTGCATGAACAGCCTCTGTCAGAGTGTCCTCCCACGGCTGTCAGAGAGTCCTCCCACGAGGAGGTAATGATGGCACATGCACCGTTGAACCCATACCCGACCCCAAGTGGGATATGCAGTTCAACGGAAGATGGGCAGGGTAGGGAGGGTTGTATTAGGGAGGAGGGATTTTATTGCACTTTTTTTGAACCCAAAAAAAAAGAAGAAACAAAAGTCTTTTCATTTCTGCTACCTAAAGACAAGACGAGTGGGCTTGGAAAAGGGCTTTCTTAAAAAAAAAAAAAAAAAAAAAAAAAAGAAGACAACTGCTAGATGGGCAGCTCCACATGCATCTCCAATGTCGTGCGTGGTCACACGCGTTGCGTTGGACTAGTTCAACGTTGAACTACCGTCTTCCCCCGAACATAACGCACCCTGAAAATGAACGTATACAAGGTATGTTTCCGGCACGATACAGCCAAAATGGGGGTGTGTTGTGTTCGGGGGAAGACCGTAGTTCAAAGGTGTATGTGGGACTTGGGCCCCGGACCGACAGTGCTACAAGATCAAAATGGCAAGGAGAACATACCTTTCTCGGCCTTTTGGCTAAGTTAGATCAAGTGTACTATCTGTTCTGATCAGTTTAATTTCTGGGCCAAAAAAAAAAAAAAAAGGGAAAAAAAAGGCAAGGAGTAGTGGTAGGTAGGTAGTTTTCAAATCCGCAGCCTTACACATGGACACCGGAAGGGCGTCAGAATGATGCACGGCTGGACACACACCCCCTTGGGCTGACGCATGGTAAGCTATTACAGACACTGCCTGCGTGCCACCCAAGGGTTGTCCACGGTGTTGTATGTGGTCTCGTGGCCTATGAGGGGTTTGCCTGATACAGTTACTAGCAGTCTAATGGGGATGCAGGGAGGGGTTTGTGGTTACACTGCTCAATGACATGGTGTTGGTTACCTTAGGCTCTGCTTTGGGATCCCGGTAGGAGGGGTGCTAGTAGACAGACTCTGGCGGAGGAAATCGTTGGGGAACCTGCAGCAGGGGTTGTCTGAGGGGGATCCTCCAAGATAGGATGGTCTGCGCCCCATAAATTAGTTGCTGGCTTAGGTACCTGTTGTGGGTCCAGAAACAGACCCCGACAACACCCTGGACTTAAAAGAAGAACAAAAAAAATGGAATGCAGTGGAAATCCGTGTCGGGAAAACGGGGCTGGGAGAGGCAAGAATGTTGGACGAAACAAGGGGCGGCGCCCTTTTTCGATAGCCGCGGAGTTTAGATGCCATAGCCCGGGGCGCTTAGCACGGGGGAGGTGTGTCGTGAAGCCGTCAAGTTTCAAAGGAACTTGAGCAACAGCGACATGAACTTGTCCTTGCCGTTGTGGACAGGTGGTGGGGCCATCAGGAGGGAGAGTGGGTTATATGCATACTCGGAAACACTTCGGACATTTTTAACATCTTGAACTGAAGAGTGCAGTGTGAAAGCGCCCTTCCCATGGAACATGCATGAATTAAAAGGGGCATATTAAACCACCAGTACTTGGGCGACGACTAACGCTACGAGAATTTCGCTACCGCCGGGCCGTCGATAAATCGTATCGACAGCCCGCGCCGCTTAAAAAAAGGTGCGGCCGGCGCGGCGCGCAGTGCCCAAGTACTGGTGGTTTAAGTGGAGCTTGCCTCACATCGCATCAGCAAGGGACTAAGCACCACCAGGCGTCTATCGAAGTTTGAAACAACGAAGTCTGCAACGAAGTCTGAAGTACGGCGAGCTGGCTTGGTAAGCCCAGGTGGGAAGATATCTTTACAGCTGCCTTGGTGAAAACCCTCGTCGGAGGAATGCATCAAGCGGTTCGTGACAGGATATCGACTGCGCGGAATTTCGGAGTAGGCGCACACAAGATCTCGCCAGGAGAGTACTATCCTGATTCAGGTAGAGCGAAACTGGGAGTAGCCGGGTAAGCTTAGCTTCTTCATGCAATGCCTACGAGCT